GGAAAACGAAAATCGAAAACTTTAAAACAAGAAACGGAGAACGGGAAAGGGAAAACGGGCAACGGAAACCAGAAATCGCAAAACGACAACCGGAAATCGGAAAACAAAAACCGGATAACAGAACAAAAAAAATCGGAAAACAGAGACCCGACTCCAGAAAACGGAAGCCGGAAACGGAAAACGGAATTCTGGTTTCCGATCGAATGTTCCGCGGATTTTCCGTTTTCGCTCGGGTCCAGCGCCCCCGCTGACCGGGACCATCTGCGGAAAAGTTCTGCGTCGGCGACGCCCGCGATGGCTCGGCGACGTCGGCGTGGAGCAGGTTGGGCTCCACATCGAGCCGCATCGCCGATCCATCGGCGATGCAGAGCGATCCTCCGACCTCATCTACTCGGACCTCATCCGGAAGGCCTCTCCATCATCGCGGCGCCCAAACTGGCCATCGCTCGGACGTCCATTCCCTGTGCTTTTTTCGTTTTCGTGCGTGGTTTTTTCGCCAAATGATCAAGGATGCTCCTCGATGGTCCTCGCCGCAGGAAATATGCACACGTCCGAGCGATGCCAGGCCAAAGCGACGCTATGGCCCGATGGCGGGGCCCCCCGCCCGGCTGGCCAGGAGGGGGGAATGCCATGCCGCGCTCCCCGAGCTCCGTCGTGTGCCTCGCTCGAGCTGCCCGAGCACTGGGCGTGCAAAGAAGCTTCCCTGATAGCTTCCCTGCAAGGAGGGAAGCCACTCGAGTCCTCCTAGGAGGACTCGAGTGGCGAGCCTCCCGGAGAGACTTTTGCACACCGACCCGAAATTTCCCCGCAGAAGTATATAGTGCCCGGTGCGGGAAGCTTGCGCACCCTGCGTGCTCCTGGCAATTCGGGGGAGCCCCAAGGGGGAAAAGGATGGGTGTTCGGCCTCTCACGGGGGATGGATCAGGCTGGTGAGCACCGAGTCCACACTATTCGGCTGTGCTGAAAGTATGACCCAACCTAGGAGATAAGAGCAACTTGTAAGTCGGGCGTGTCCTCCTACAAGCGGACCTGGCGCGGAAAAAGATGTATAATTATTCAAACCAATCAAAATATTCAACGAATACACAGATGGTAAAACAAACGAAACTATGAGCCAGCGTTAACTCAAAATATATTAGACGACTCAAATCAAGGAATCAGAGAAATTCAGGAAGCTTGGAACCCGCAACTCAGCAAGCAAGCAAGCGTGCAAGCAAGCAAGCAAACAAGCAAGCAAGCGAGCAAGCAAGCGCGCAAGCAATCAAGCAAGCGTGCAAGCAAGCAAGCAAGCAAGCAAGCGGACATAGGCATAGGCATAGGCATAGGCGTAGGCATAGAAGTTAGGGGGAGGCATAGGCATAGGCATAGACATAGCCATAGGAATTCGGGGGGGCATCGGAATTTGGGGGGGCAACGGACCAATCAGTAGGGTTTGAGCTGGGACTCTTATAGGGCAAGCCTGCTTGGATAATAAGACTATGTTTGAAGACTCCTCCTGTAGAGGGACGTCCCGGACTTACGGGCAACTTAAAGTGGCCCGAGGACACACAAATAAATACACACAAATAAAATGATTCCCCCTATTTTCCTATATTTTCTGGGTTTCTGTCTTCCCCCCCACTTCCCATATTTTCCTATATTTTCCTGGGAGTCGACGATTAATTGTGTCTGTGTGTTTCTCTCCCTCCTGACACTTGCTGATGGCAGGCGGGCGCGGAGAGAAGATTCGTCTCTGGGGGTCCCGTGGCGGCACCGGCGATGGGCGCACACAGGAGAGCGGGCGAGGGAGGAGGAGGGAGGGAAGAAGAGGAGCAGGGAGAAGAGGAGAAAGAAAGAAGAGGAAAAATAAGAGGAATAAGAGAGGGAGGAGGAGGAGAAAGAAAGAAGAGGAACAATAAGAGGAATACGAGAGGGAGGAGGAGGAGAAAGGAAGAAGAGGGAAAAGAGGAGGAAGAAGAGGAACAGGAGGAATAAGAGGAAGGAGGAAGAAGACGAAGAGGAAGAAGAGAGGATGGGAATCAGCTTCCGGGATGTCTTCGCAAGATCGATTTGAGGCCTATCAAGCCTGATTGGGAGGCCACAGCCACCCCGAACTATCACAGATCTAGCCCAAGAGCCAGATTAAGCGGAATTGAACGCGATTGAGCGGGACTGTGCGGGACTAGGCTAGTTTTCGACCGCGGATATACAAGCGTCGATGCTGAACTCAACTTCCCAGGAGCTGCATCCTGAGGAGGGGGACAAACTGAGCAAGCAAGCAGGGCAAGGCAGAGCACCCGCCAGGCAGGCCTGATGGGCAACTAAAGGGGGGGGGACCGGCTTAGGAGCGGAAGCATCGACCTTGCATCGGCGATACATCGCCGACAGATCGGCGATTGGCCCCCGATAGCGCATCCGAACCTTCCTGGGCGCGTTGGGGTCATCATAGAAGAAGAAACCAGAACCATAATCATAAACTTCTGGCGCTCCACGCTGATCTTTTTTATTTGCGCTGGACCCCCCTCCCTGGCGCGCGGAGAGCGCCAGGGGTGGCGTCCGCGGTGCCGCCGGGGGGGAACCCTGCGCGGATCCAAGATATCCGCGCGGAGCGCCACAAGTGTATGTTTATACAGTGATATGAGGCCCCTATCGGCGATCAGTGGGCGATTGATGGTCGATGCGCCGCCCCCCTATGCCCACCCCGTACTCCCTGGTTTTCGGGCATAGCTCGGCTCTCCAGCGGCCGTTCGGGAATCCCCGGAACGCGCTCGGCGAGGCGCAGCTTCTGGGAGGCGTCCTGGAGACGGAAGGCCGCCGAGAACCGACGAGAGCGGCCGAAACCATCGAGCCTGCCCCCTGTATGCCGATCCCCCTACACGTCGTTCATTCCTAATCGTGCTCATCTCTAATTGTGCTCGATTCTAATTGTTCCTGGCGCCCCCTAGTGGCCAGGAAGAGGCCCAGGATAGAACAATGAGAAGTGAAAGGATCTTGGCCCAACAAAAACCAAGAACTTTCGAAGCTTTGGAGATGAACCATGTCTAGGGCTATCCCCGAGCCGACACCCTCGATGCGCCCCCCCCCCTTCTTTGCCTATCCCCACCGGTGGTTGCCCCCGACGGCCCCTGGGGGGGGGGGCAGCCCGCGCCGGCCGAGGCCCAACAGACAGCCCCTGCGCGCAATGTGCATGCATATCCCCGAGCCGACACCCTCGATGCGCCCCCCCTTCGGGGATGGACAGACCTCCCTTTCGCAAAACGTGGTTTAGTGAAAACGACCTGAGGCCCAAACCTGGCGGGCGCAAGCCTGGAAAACAACGGCCGCGGCGCCCTCTCGAGAACCGAAAACGGACAATTCACCAATCGACGTGTCACCGTTGGGGGTTCTGTCCACCCCCGACACCCCCCCTCGCCCTCTTGGCCGATCCCCACCGGTCGTTGCCCCCGACGGCCCCTGGGGGGGGGCGGCCCGCGCCGACCGAGGCTCCAACAGGCAGCCCCCCTGCGCGCACCGCGCGCTGCGCAGAGGCCCCCCATGGAGGGCACGGCGGGGGCCCGCCCGAGGAGGGCCAGGACGCAGAGCAGAGCTCCAAGCCTCCTCCTCCTCGCTCCTCCTCGCTCCTCGCTCCTCGCTCCTCCTCCAGCGTCCTCCTCCTCCTCGCTCCTCCTCGCTCCTCCTCCTCCTCGCTCCTCCTTCTCCTCGCTCCTCGCGCCTCGCGCCTCGCGCCTCGCTCCTCGCTCCTCGCTCCTCGCTCCTCCTCCTCCTCCTCCTCCTCCTCCTCCTCCTCCTCCTCCTCCTCCTCCTGCCCTGGTTCCCCCCCCTCCTCCCCCCCCTCCTCCTTCCCCTAACTCTCGCGCCGCGCCCCTGAAGAGGGGCAGCCCTCCCGGCCCTGGCCCTTGCCATCGCCTGGGCGCCCTTTCCCCATGCATTGACCCCATTTCGTGCGTGTTCTTTTGGCCGAGTGATCCAAGATGCTGCTCGATGGTCCCCGCCGAGAATCACATGCACAGGCCCGAGCGATGGCAAAGGCCGTGCAACGCGCGAAGCGCGACCAGCTGCGCACTCCTCCATCCAAGTTGCCCAGAGCGTGGCCCGCTCGGAGGGGACACGTCGGCGGGGGGCCCGGCCTCTGGGGGAGGGGGAGCATCGAGCGGGAATCTGGATACACCGCCGATAGATCGGCCATACAGTCGGGGCGTTGACCTAAGGAACCCTAAATAAGGAACGAGGCCCCTTTTTTCCATAAGTTAAACTTCGATTTCCCATCGAAAATCTGAAGAAAACCTAGGGCAAGCTGTGAAACAATGAAGGAACACGGAGCCCCTCCCCAACGAAAAGGGTTCCTTCTTCAGGGCCCCGACTGTAGGCCCCCAATAGCGATACACCGCACGCTCCTGGGCAGGGTGGGCTATCAGGCCCCTGTCGGCGATCAATGTGCAGTCAGGGGTCGACGCATTCTCCGCTGAGCCGAACCCTCCCCCTAACGTTGCCCCTGAATCAGACAGCCCGCGGGCCCAGCCAACAAGAGCCCAGCCAGCAGACCCCCCCTCTGGGTGACGCGCCGTGGCGGTGGCCCGACTTCGGCCCGAGGCTTTTGAATCAGGGAGCGCGTCGCAATTCGAACGCGCCGTGGAGATCGTACCTAGTCCAGGGGAACAGAGGGGACCGTACCAAGCCGCCGATCACCAAATCTCAGAAAGCGAAACCAAAAATAGAAAGTGGCCGCGTGCCTTTCTACTCTTGGTCAAAGCTGAAGAAGCCCCCTTCCTCGGAGGTGCAAGATCCCCTGTTTTGCGGACAGCCCGCGCCGAGTCGCAGGCGGTGCCGACCGGCCGCGATTCGGCAGCCGTGCAGAAATGGGGGCCGGCTTCCAGAGGCTGGGGTGCACGACGTACGATAGGCATTCCATACTCCTCCACCTGCTCTTCTCCTCCTTCTCCGCCTCCGCCTCCTCCTGACCACCTCACCTCTCATCCCATCCCCCTCCTCTTCCTCCCCTTCTTGTGAAATGAAATGCGCGCCTGTGCTTTCTTTTTTCGGGCATGTCCACCGGGCGGGTGTCCTTGAAGAGATCCTGCGTGTCCGATCCCTCTCTCTTTCTCTCTCTCTCTCTCTTTCTCTCTTTCTCTTTCTCTCTCTTTCTCTCTCTCTCTCTCTATATATAGATCCTTCCATGAGTATATATAGACACACATGTAGTACAGACGTATAAAACAAGCAAGCACACAAACTGACAAACAACCATGCAACCAAACAAACAACACAAACAACCAAACGCACAAACACAAAAAAACGCAAACAAACAAACAGACAAGCAAGTCCGCAAATAAACAAACCAACACACATATACACATACATGCGCACATGCATACAGACATACACACACAAATCCGTACATACGTATATACATACATGCGTGCATACACACTCATACATCAATACCTATGAATATACAGACATGCAGACATACACACCTACACATACGCATACACATACACATACACATACACAAACACATACACATACACATACACATACACCTACACACGTACACGTACACGCACACATGCACATACACACATACACACATAAACAAACATACACACACAAACACATACACCTAATACACATGACACATACCACATATATATATGTGTATATATATGTATATATATGTATTCATACATGCATGCACGCATGCCTACACATACATATATACATGTATGAATTTCAATAAATAAAGGTATTTTTATACATATACATATGTATACATACAGATGTGCAGGCATTCATGTCTGTATGTTGTGTTGTCCTTCCCTTGGTCACCCGACACCCCTCCCACCTCCCATGTCTTTCTTCACACATGTGTGCGTTCTCAAACCTCTGTCACCCCCATCCCGTCTGCCCGGTCCTCCTCGCATTTCCCACCTTCTCGGTTTCGCTCGCATCTGTCGCCCTCATCACTGCCCTGTCCCGTGCTCACCTCCCACCCCTTTCTGCCCGCACCATTGGCCATCGTCCCGATCGTCCTCACGCGTCGGCGGCGAGGAACAGCACCGTCCCGAGGAAAAGGAAAGGAATTCTCGAGAGGGAGCGTTGTTCTTGCTGGGAGCGGCGCCAATTCAAAAGAGAGTAGGGCGCCAATCCAGCGTAAAACGGAAGGAGGTCTCGGGCGGGAGCGCTGGTTTTGTCGGGGCGGCGGTTTTCGGTGGCGAGGAGGAACACCGCCTTGAGTAAGAAGGGAGGAAGCATCGAGCGGGAGCCGTGGTTTTGTCGGGACGGGGGTTGTCGGCGGCGAGGAACAGCACCGTCTTCAAGAGAAAGGGAGGAAACCTCGAGCGGGAGCGTTGTTCTTGCTGGGAGCGACGCCAACTCAAAAGAGAATTGGGCGCCAGTCCTGCGTAAAACGGAAGGATGTCTCGGGCGGGAGCGCTGGTTTTGTCGGGGCGGCGGTTTATCGGCGGCGAGGAGGAGCACCGCCTTGAGAAAAAAAGGGAGGAGGCCTCGAGCGGGAGCGTTGTTTTTGCTGGGGGCGGCGCCAATGAAGAAAAAGACTCGCGCGACAGTCCAAGGTAAAACGGGAGGAAGTCTCGAGCGGGAGCGCTGGTTTTGTTAGGACGGCGGCTTTCGGCGGTGAGCAAGAACACCAGCCCTGAGTAAAAAAGGAGGACGTCTCGAGCGGGAGCGTTGTTGTTGTTGGGGGGCCAGTTTGGGCGGTCCCCCAAACCGCTCGAGCGTGAGCGTCATTTTCAATGAAAATGTAGCCGGCGCCTCGGCGAGAGCGCCAGGGCGCCTATAAGGGCTCCAACAATAATAATTTTGGTTAACACACAACAGCAACAACACCAACAACCATAACAACAACAACAACAACAACAACAACAACAATCATTTTACCCGAACGCGTGGTGTTCTCCCCAGTGCCAGGGTGTTCATACGACACCAGGCAATACCCCCACTTCGTGGGGGGGCATTACAAGCTCTACCAAATATCCAAACGACTCTTCGCGACCACCCAAACCCAGCTTCCCGCCCTATGACGTTGGGACACTTCACTTCGTGGCGTGCGGACGACCGTGGCTACTACACTGGCGTGGGGTACACACCCACAGAACTTGGTCACTTATTCGGGGCGCGCATGTGCCCAGCATGGTGCAATTGTGCCATACAATACATAATACAGAGAGACGAATGTGTCCCGCATGGTATTATTTGACAGGGATGATGGCCCTGGCAGGTGCGCAACCGTTGTCGCAGAAGTTCGAAAAAGTTGCTCGCAAAAGCCCGTTTGACAGAAATGTTTAAAAAGTGTTGGGTTTCCTACGAATCCGCAAGAGCGCGCGGGATGAGATTTTGACATTTTTTTGTTGAAAAACCATTGGTTTTTTGATGTTTTTATGTTGAAATCGCTCCGAACACTAAGCTTTTGGAAGGATTTCGTCTTGCGCGCGCGAATGTCCACTTTACCTTATTTTTTGCAAGGGATTCTTGAAATTTGATTATATTTGAACAAGAAATTTCATTTTATAGTGTTTTTTGCAAGGGACAGCGGGGGGGAACAAAACAACCTGATCTTGATGACATCGTATTACCTGAGGCTTCCTCACGAAAATGATGAAAACGTGGCTGCGGCCTAGGCGCGGCGGGCGGGGCGCGCACCAGGGGGCCCAACAATAATTATTCTTTAGAATTAATAATGTTCAACAACAACAACAACAACAACAACAACAACAACAACAACAACAACAATGATACCGGGGAAAAAACCCAATCAGGGCTATGGGAGTATAGGGCCATAGGGCTATTGAGCTATGAGGCTATAGAGCTATAGGGCTATAGAACTGTAGGGCTATAAAGCTATTGGGCTATTGGGCTATAGGGCTAAAGGGCTTAAGGCTATAAAGCTATAGGGCACCCTCAGGCACCCCTGGGCACGCCCGGGCACGCCCGGGCACGCCCGGGCACCCGGGCACCCGGGCACCTGGGCATCCCCGGGCACCCCCCGGGCACCCGGGCCCCGGGCACCCCCGGGCACCCGGGCACCCGGGCGTGCAGCAAAAATCGGCGACAAACCTAACCTAACCATATGAATCCGCTAGGACCCCTACAGAGGCAAGCTCTGATTGGGGAACGACAACAACAACAACACCATCAACAACAACAACAACAACAACAGCAGCACCAACAACAACAACAACAACAGCACCAACAACAACAACAACAACAGCAACAGCAACAGCAACAGCAACAGCAACTGCAACAGCAACAGCAACAGCAGCAGCCGCAACAGCAACAATAACAACAACAACAACAATCATTTTACCCGAACGCTCAGTGTTCTCACCAGTGCCAGGGTTTTCATGCGACGCGAGACAATACCCCCACTTCGTGGGGGGGCAGTTCAAGCTCTACCAAATATCCAAACGACTCTTCGCGACCACCCAAACCCAGCTTCCCGCCCTATGACGTTGGGACACTTCACTTCGTGGCGTGCGGACGACCGTGGCTACTACACTGGCGTGGGGTACACACCCACAGAACTTGGTCACTTATTCGGGGCGCGCGTGTGCCCAGCATCCTGCAATTGTGACATACAATACATGACACAGACAGACAGAGAGAGAGACAGAGAGCAGACAGAGAGAGAGACAGAGAGAGCGGAGTTGGTCACATTTTTGGGGCAAGTTCCTGAGATCGTCGTGTTTTTTGTTGGTCTTGCGCGCGCGAATGTCCACTTTACTTTTTTTTTGCAAGGGAGTATTGAAATTTGATTATGTTAGAACAAGAAAAAGTAGCTCGCGCGAGCTCATGTAACATAAATGTTGAAAAACCATTGGTTTTGTGGGAGTCGGACAGCGCGCGCGGGATGAAATTTGGACATTTTTTTTTGAAAAACCATTGGGTTTTTGATGTTTTTATGTTGAAATCGTTACGAAACCTAAGGTTCTGGAAGGATTTCGTCTTGCGCGCGCGAATGTCCACTTTACCTTATTTTTTGCAAGGGATTATTGAAATTTGATTATGTTAGAACAAGAAAAAGTAGCTCGCGCGAGCTCATGTAACATAAATGTTGAAAAACCATTGGTTTTGTGGGATTCGGACAGCGCGCGCGGAAGGACATTTTGACAATTTTTTCTTAAAAAACCATTGGGTTTTTGATGTTTTTATGTTAAAATCGTTACGAAACCTAAGGTTTTGGAAGGATTTCGTCTTGCGCGCACGAATGTCCACTTTACCTTATTTTTTGCAAGGGATTCTTGCAATTTGATCAAGTAAGAACAAGAATTTTCATTTTATAGTGTTTTTTGCAAGGGAAAACGGATTACAACAAAACAACCGGATCCGGACACAATCCACTTTTCTGAAGCTTTCGCTAGAAAATGAAGGAAATGAGACTGCGGCATAGGTTTTGGAGGGGGGTCGCGCACCAGGGGTCTCAACAATAATATTTCTTTAGAAGTAATAATGTTCAACAACAACAACAGCAACAACAACAACAACAGCACCAACAACAACAACAACAACAACCACACCAGCAGCAGCAGCAACAACAACAACCACAACAACAGCGGCTCTAACCTGATACGTCCTCACACTGTATTTCAAGTTCGCGCTCTCGCGCGGGACTTCCTCAGAATGTATTCAAGAATCGCGCTCTCGCGTGGCACTTCCTCACAATGTATTGCGGAGCCGTGCCCACCATTCTCACAAATCACGTTTTTGCTTGGATTTCTGAATGATTTACTTGCGAATCGCGCTATCGCTCGAAACCTCCTTCATGATGGGTTGACGCTTTAGCGACCCACCCGCTCGACCTGGCCGTCTGGCCCGCCCGCCCGACCCGCCTACTAGGGTGTGCCAGCCCGATGTGCCAGTCTGGTACTGCCACGTATGTTCTGCTCCTGGCCCCCCTCCTGCTATTTTTTCGTGCTCCATACATTTCCCGTCCCCTTCCATCCGTCCCCTCTTCCCTGCTTTAGGACCTGCGCTAATTGTACGTGGCAGGCGAGGAAGATCCACAGCCAAGGGGGGGTACGATCGCCGACGAAGAGGGCGGGTACCAAGGCTTTGGGATGTACGTGGTGAATGGCACGCGAGCAGATCGGAGCGAACAGTCTTATAATGATCATGGTTGAATTTTCATTTCGAACCGAACATTGTTGATCCCCCCTCCCCCGGCGATCATTGCATTTTTCAATTGAAGTGCTCTTCCCAGGGCCCGCACCATACACAAAAATCTTGAGGCTGATTGGGCCCTCGGCTCCCGACTTGGAACAACAAAGGCTCCCGCCGGATACTTCCTCCAAATTGATTCCAAGTCGACGCGCGGGACGTCTTCACAATGTATGCAAGAATCGCGCTTCAGCAAGACGCCTGCTCGACCCTGCCGCCTGGGCCCGCCTTCCCGACCCGCCCGCCAGGTTCTGCCCGCCCGATCTGCCCGTCTGGTTCTGCCACGTGTTTTCTGCTCCTAGCCCCTCTCCTGCTAATTTCTCTCGTGCTCCATACTTCTCCCTCCCCCTTGCATCCGTTCTCTCTTCCCTGTTTTAAGGCCTGCACTAATTGCACGTGGCACGCGAGGAAGATACACCCCCAACGGGGCACGATCGAAGACGAAAACGGCGGGTACCGAGGAATCGGGAAATACGTAGTGACTGGCATGCGAGCATATCGGATCGAACAGTATTGCAATATTGTTGTTGGTGTTGTTGGTGGTGTTCTTGTTGTTGGTAGTGGTGTTATTGTTGGTGTTGTTGTGGCTGCTGCTATTATTGTTGATGCTTCATTTCTACCAAATGAATAACATTGATCCCCCTCCCCAGTAACCACTCCATGTTTCAATTCAAATATTTCTCCCGGGGCTCGAACATGTTTTTTCTTTTATTTTCCCAGAAAGGGACCAAACTGCGCCACTGGCCCCTGTTGTACAACAACAGCAACAACAACGGCTCCCGCCGGACATTTTCCCACAACGTATTCCCAAATCGCGCTCTCGCGCAGGACTCCCTCACAATGTATGCAGGAACCGCGCTCGCGCGTGGGATTCCCTTGCAATCTATTCAGACGCCGCGCCCTCGAAACTCAGGAATCACGCTCTCGCTGTGGATTTCATCACGATGTATTGGAGAATCGCGCTATCGCTCGAGACTTCCTCGCGACGCATGCAGGACTCACGCTTCAACAACCCGCCTTCCCGACCCGCCAGCCAAGGTCTGCCCGCCCGATCTGCCCGTTTGGTTTTGCCACGTGTTTTCTGTTCCGTACCCCACACCCAGGTACTCTCTCTCGTGCTCCAGCCTCCTCCCTCCCCCTTGTCCCTTCCTTCTATCCGTCCTCAACTTCCCCTGCATTGGGGGCTGCACGAAATACACGCTGCAAGTAAGAAAAATACGCCCCTGAAGGGAGTATGGTCGAAGAGGGCGGGTACCGAGATTTTGGGATATGCGTGTTGTATGGCACGCGAGCAGATAAGAGCGAACAATATAAAATGACTATGGTTGCTGTTGTTGCTGTTGTTGTCATTGGTTGTATGTGTTGTTGTTGCTGCTGCTGCTGTTGCTGCTGCCTGTTGTTTGTTGTCGTCGTCCTGCCCGCGACCTGGCCCGCGACCCACCCGCCACCCACCCGCGACCCACCCGCGACCCACCCGAAACTTACCCCGCGACCCGCCCACGACGTACCCCGCGACCCGCCCGCGACTCGCCCCGGACCCACCCGCGACCCATCCCGCTCCCGCCCGCTCACTATTATCCGCAACTGCGGATGCCACATATCTACCTACGGTCCACGACCGACGGGCGCGCGAAGCGAGCATGCGACTCTCGCCCTGGCCCGGCGGTCCTCTACCACGGGCGGCGCCTCCGGCTCGTCGCACCCGAGCGACGCGCCGAAGCTGGAGAAGACCTCGCGGTACCTCACCGAGCACCCCGTCCCCCTTGGCGCGGTTGGCTCCGCCGCGGCGGCACCATGCATGCCCCCAGGCACGGCTCCGTGCCACCACGGGCGGGGCCTCGGGCTCCCTGCACCCGAGCAACGAGCCGAAGCGGGCGAAGACTCCGCTGTGCATCGCCGGGCATCCCGCGCCCCTTGACGCGAACAAACAGGGGATATGTCGACCCCTATCCCAGGCCTCGTGGCGTTTTTGAGTGAACCAGAGATCTAGGGCCCAACCCTGGAATAGACGATGGGGGGGCGCCCATCCTCGATGGGGGTGCGTCCGAATAGCCCCCGTGGCGCGTGTCCCAGAGTTTCTCCTCCCCCTCAATGGTTGATTCAAGCTTCGCGCGGCCCGCTTAGCTTCGACCGGAAGAGGTGCGCTCTCGACCCGCGGATCAAAAAAGCGTGTCCCAGAGTTCCCCCTCCTTCTCTGAGCGGCTTCCTTTTCGTCGAAAAAGCCGGGGGCTGGGGGGGAAACACCGCCTGCGACGGCTGGCCCCGCCGCGGCGGCAGCACACCGCGCGCCCTCGAGCACGGCCGGGCGCTCGACAGTGGATCCCCTGCTGCCCGCCCCACGAGCCGCGCACACACCTCGGGCGGGCGGCCATGGGGGATGACCTGCATGGCCCTTGTTCTTCCCCCCCCCCCATTTAGGTCACCCCCCTATACCTCCTCCTCCTCCTCCTCCTCCTCCTCCTCCTCCTCCTCCTCCTCCTCCTGCTCCTCCCCCTCCTCCTCCTCCTCCTCCTCCTCCTCCTCCTCCTCCTCCTCCTCCTCCTCTCCTCCTCCTCCTCCTCCTCCTCTCCCCTCCTCCTCCTCCTCCTCCTCCCTCCTCCTCCTCCTCCTCCTCCTCCTCCTCCTCCTCCTCCTCCTCCTCATCATCATCATCATCCCTCTCCTCCTCCTCCTCTCATCCTCCTCCTCCTCCTCCTCCTCCTCCTCCTCCTCCTCCGCCTCCTCCTCCTCCTCCTCCTCCTCCTCCTCCTCCTCCCCCCCATTTGGGTCACCCCCCATTCCCGCCCGCCCGGCTACCCGCACCCGCGCCCTCGCGGTCTGGACTCCGCGGCGCGGCCCCGCGGCCGCGCGGCGGCACGCGGCCGCCGCTCTGCGCGGGGCAGCCGCGAGAACCCGCGCCGCAGCCTGCGAGGCCGCGGGTATCGGACGTGTTCTTCGCCCGGGACGACGGCTTCCTCGTTGCCCACGGGCCTGCGGCGGTCTGCGGCTGTCTCCGGCGGGCTCCTGCGCGGAGGCTGGGGGCTTTAGGCCTGCTCGCTTCACGCGCGGGCGGGGGCGTTTTTGAGCACGGTGCGCGTTGCGTATCAGAACGGGCGCATCGAGGCAGCTAAGCTGAGAAGCCTCCTGGGCTTTCTCCGAAGAAGCTGAGGGCTTCCCAGCTGGTCGGAGGGCCTCTGAGAGGCCCCGCGTCGCCGTCTGAGAAGGTCGGCACCCTCAGCCTCCCCCCCCATCAGGCGCGCTGCCGCTCCGCGCAAGCCCTCGTAGTGGTGCGCCAGAAAGAGGTCCGGGGCAACGAAAGGGGGGGGGGAGGACTGGCATGGTCGGCGGCGAGCGAGGGGGGGGGAAGTGAGAAGGAGAAGATCTTCTCAAAGGTGGCGGGATTTCTCAGAAGCCCTCGCGCCCTCTGAGAAGCTGTCTGTGTCTTCGGTGACAGCTCAGACTTCCGAGAAGGCCCGCCCCTTCTCACTTCCCCCCCGGCTGGCCGCCGACCTGGGATCGGCGACACAGGGCCCCGATAGCAAATCCCCCCGCGCCTGGGCAGGTTGGGGCTGTCGGGCCCCCATCGGCGATCCATGGGCGGTTGGGGATCGATGCATCCCCCCGTATGCCAGACGCCCATTCCTTGTGCACTGGTCGGCTCCGTGAGTGTGTGAGTTTTCGCAACATGGCCCGAAAGGCTCCTCGCCAAAAATGAAAGAAAAACGGTATAAACATAAACTTTTGGCGCTCCGCGCGGATTCCTTGGACCTGCGCTGGACCCCTCTCCCTTGCGCGCGGAGCGCGCAAGGGGCGGCGCCCGCTGCCCAGGGGGCCCAGCGCGGATCCAAGAAATCCGCGCAGAGCACCAAGAGTGTATGCTCGTTGCGTTTTTTGTTTCGAGAACATGCTTCAATGGCTCCCCGATGGTCCTCGCCGAACGAAGAACAACAACAACAACAACAACAACAACAACAACAACAACAACAACAACAACAACAACAACAACACCAACAACAACAACAACAACAACAACAACAGCAACTGCAACAGTAACAGCAACAGCAACAGCAACAGCAACAGCAGCAGCAGCAGCCGCAACAACAACAACAACAACAACAGCAAAAGCAACAACAACAACAACAGCAACAAACAAACAGTGCACACGTCCGAGGCCCGTCGGCACGGCGCGCGCGGCGCGCAGGCTGTCTTCGCGCGGCGCGCCGCCCTCCCCGAATGACGTGGCGTGGCGGCCGTGAACTGTCGCGCCCGCGCACGCGTCCGTCGTCGGCGTCTCGTCGTCGTCCCTCCTATTTCGTCGCCGTCGTCGTCGTCGTCGTTGTCGTCTCGTCGTCGTCTTCCCTCCTCCCTCGTCGTTGTCGTCGTCGGCGTCGCCGTCCTTCCTCCTTCTTCGTCGTTCGCGTCGTCGCCGTCCTCCCGCCTCCCTCGTTGTCGTCGTTGTCGTGGTTGTCGTCGTTGTCGCCATCGTCGTCCTCCCTCCTCCCTCGTTGTCGTCTTCGTTGGGGACGTCGTCGTCGTCTTCGTCAGCGTCATCGGCATCGGCGTCGTCGTCTTCGCTTTCGCCGGCCACGCGGGCGGGATAGAGCTGGACCGGGGTTCCGGGCTGGCAAGCGAGAGCGCGATTCCTTAATAAAATGCGAGGAAGTCTCGGGCGGGAGCGGGGGTCCTGGCTAAATTGTGAAGAAGTCTACAGCGGGAGCCGTTGTTGTTGTAACCCGGGGGGCAGGAGCCCAGTTTGAGCATCAAGACTTTCGCTGTGAAAAAACAGGGTGCGCGCTTCGCCGCGCAATGGCGGGATGAGGTCCATCGCGCGGGCCTTGCGGTCCAGGCCTGGTGGTCAGGCTGCACGTGGCTTCCGACTCCGAGGGACTTGGCGCGGCTGCGGGACGCCCTGGGCGCGGGTTTGCCAAACGACCAGACGAGGCTCCCGCTCGAGACTTCCTCCATATTCAGGTCTCAGGAGCTCAAAATTGACGACAGTTGCACGTTGCGGATGACCCGCTCGGATTCGAACATGAAGCGCGGGCCCCATAGGGAGGGGGTTCCCGCCTGAGACTTCCTCGCAATTCACTCACAGACGAGGCTCCCGCTCGAGACTTCCTCCATATTCAGGCCTCAAGAGCCCAAAAGTGACGACAGTTACACGTTTCGGATGACCCGCTCGGATTACCAACATGAAGTGCGGGCCCCATAAGGAGGGGGCTCCCGCCTGAGACTTCCTCGCAATTCACTCACAGACGAGGCTCCCGCTCTAGACTTCCTCCATATTCAGGCCTCAAGAGCCCAAAAGTGACGACAGTTACACGTTTCGGATGACCCGCTCGGATTCGAACATGAAGTGCGGGCCCCATAGGGAGGGGGCTCCCGCCTGAGACTTCCTCGCAATTCACTCACAGACGAGGCTCCCGCTCGAGACTTCCTCCATATTCAGCCTCAAGAGCCCAAAAGTGACGACAGTTACACGTTTCGGATGACCCGCTCGGATTACCAACATGAAGTGCGGGCCCCATAGGGAGGGGGCTCCCGCCTGAGACTTCCTCGCAATTCACTCACAGACGAGGCTCCCGCTCGAGACTTCCTCCATATTCAGGCCTCAAGAGCCCAAAAGTGACGACAGTTACACGGATGACCCGCTCGGATTACATGAAGTGCGGGCCCCATAGGGAGGGGGCTCCCGCCTGAGACTTCCTCGGACGAGGCTCCCGGACTTCCTCCATATTCATGCGCGGATGACCCGCTCGGACATGAAGTGCGGGCCCCATAGGGAGGGGGCTCCCGCCTGAGACTTCCTCGCAATTCACTCACAGACGAGGCTCCCGCTCGAGACTTCCTCCATATTCAGGCCTCAAGAGCCCAAAAGTGACGACAGTTACACGTTTTGGATGACCCGCTCGGATTACCAACATGAAATGCGGGCCCCATAGGGAGGGGGCTCCCGCCTGAGACTTCCTCGCAATTACTCACAAACGAAGCTCCCGCCTGAGACTTCCTCCAGGTGAGTATGTGAATGAGTGAGCGTGTGGCAGAGTGCGAGTGATGATGATGATGATGATGATGATGATGATGATGATGAGTATGTGAGTGACTGAGCGTGTGAGTGAGCGCGAGTGATGATGCTGATGTTGATGATGAGAGAGTGTGAGTGAGTGTGAGTGTGAGTGAGTGGTGATGATGATGAGTGAGTGAGTGAGTGTGCGAAGGCAGAAGAGGAGAGGGGAAGGGTAAGTGTTCCTGCGCGGGGTGTGCAGAGAAAACAAGAACCCCACTTTGGATGTGGGGAACAACAACAGCAACAAACAAACAGTGCACACGTCCGAGGCCCGTCGGCACGGCGCGCGCGGCGCGCAGGCTGTCTTCGCGCGGCGCGCCGCCCTCCCCGAATGACGTGACGTGGCGGCCGTGAACTGTCGCGCCCGCGCACGCGTCCGTCGTCGGCGTCTCGTCGTCGTCCCTCCTATTTCGTCGCCGTCGTCGTCGTCGTCGTTGTCGTCTCGTCGTCGTCTTCCCTCCTCCCTCGTCGTTGTCGTCGTCGGCGTCGCCGTCCTTCCTCCTTCTTCGTCGTTCGCGTCGTCGCCGTCCTCCCTCCTCCCTCGTTGTCGTGGTTGTCGTGGTTGTCGTCGTTGTCGCCATCGTCGTCCTCCCTCCTCCCTCGTTGTCGTCTTCGTTGGGGACGTCGTCGTCGTCTTCGTCAGCGTCGTCGGCATCGGCGTCGTCGTCTTCGTCTTCGTCGACGTCGGCGTCGTCGTCGTCGCCGCCGTCGTCGTCGTCGTCGTCGGCCGTCTTGCTTCTCCGGCCTTCTTGGGGCGCTCTTGAGAAGCCCCCGAGGGCTCCAAGACGACCCCGGAGCGATATCTGCGCTCGGTCCCGCATGGGTTTTGCAAACCAAGTTGCGGGTGGATGGGCGGGATGATTGCGCGAGCAGTGGAGTTGACAACTGCAAGTTCGGCATGGGAGTTGCACCACATAGATTGCTCCGCTTAAATGTCACAACATAGATTGCTAGGAACACTGTTTGGGGACCACGCTGGCTAACTCTCGTCGTAGAATCACGAACTGGGAATCACAAAACACGTGTATCTCGGAGTCTCTCGGCCACAGCCCGTGGTGGAAGAGGGCCCGAGAACAGGAGTGTTACCAGCCTGGAACATATCCCTATCCCTATGCTGGGCACCTCCTCATCACGATGCCAATCTGAGGGATTCCCTTATTTTTTGAAGGCGAATCCCTAAGATTGTCATCGCCTTTTGGCGTGTCAATCTTAGGGATAGGGATACGTTCGAGGCTGGTAAGAGTGGGCGGCTCCTTCCGCTCGCGCGGCATCGTCCTCCGATCCAGGACGCCTCGCCCTTGTTGCGGCCCGGCCCGCGTCCCTCCTCCGGCCAGCTGAAGCAGCCAAAATCCGCGGGGAGGCACGCCGCCCCAGACACGTGCGACGCCCCCGGAAGTCGGGACCCTCTCCCCGGCTCCGGCTCTTCATCCCGAGCCCTTTTCTGACGCTCCCGAGGCCCTCGCCATCGCTCGGGCGTCCATTCCCTGCGCTTTTTTCGGTTTCGTGCGTGGCGTTTTCGCCAGATCATCGAGGATGCTCCTCGATGGCCCTCGCCGAAGGAAGAATACACACGTCCGAGCGATGCCAAGGGCCCGGCGAGGGCCCCCCGAGGCCGAGAGCGGCCTCCCAAAGCGGCCCGCCCTGACTCTCTTCCTCCTGGCGCGCGGCCGCCGCCTGGGGCGCCGCGAGGGAGCCGAGCGCGAGAGGCCCGCCCCCGCCACGCCCGGAGAGCGGCGGGCGAGCGCAGCGCCCCGGGGGGGGGGGCACCGGTCGAGGCGCGGGGCGGCCGCGGCCTCTGGGCGCCGCCGCTGCGCCTGCTCGAGCAGCCACCACTGCGGGATGCGGGGGCTCAGCGCCTGCGGGGGGGGGGGCGCGGCGCGGCAGGGGCGCGCGGAGAGACCCAGACCTCCAACGTATGGAAGAAATCAAGACGAAGGCTTTTCTCGATGTTCGGCCTCTGGGAGCCCTCGCCTGGCCCCGGGACCGTCAAAAAACGACTCAGGATGAGAAACCCGTCCTGGGGAATGGGTCGAGACTCCGGGGGACCGCGTATTGAAAAAATCACGACGTCGGATCTCTGGGGAGAGAGCTGCGCGCTCGCGGCCGCGCCGTGCCGGGCCACGGGGTGCGGCACGGGGGTGCGCTCGGGGCGGCGCGCAGGAGTTCTGGCAGGGTGCGCGGGCTGAAGGGCGTGTTCTGTGTTCGTGTGGTTTCCCTCGTTCCGTCTTGGCTCCGCCCGTGCTGCAAGACGATGTCGGAGCGAGAAAGCGGCCGATCGCCCACGCACCCTGCAGCTTGTGCCCCGGCCTCTCCTGCAGCCCGATCTGCGCGCGTCGTCCGATGTGCACGCCGAGGCATCCCAGAACACGCCGAGGCACGGCAAACATCGGTAGCCGAACTCCATACACCAACCCTTTTTCCCGGCCCCACACTGGAACTCTCACAAGCAAGCGGATCCTGGTGTATACGGGATCCTGGTGTATGCAGGTTTCGTTGCTTCCCCGGGAAAACGGGGAAAAGGATATACACCACACTACCCCGACGTCGTCCCCGGCCCTCACAGACGTCCTGGGATTGCAAGACAGCCTGCCACTGGTAACATACATGCTCAAGTTTCTGAAAATGGTATCGGATCAGAACCGGATCGCATCGCCAGCGGATCATCCCGAATCAAGACGAAGCCAGAGCGAGGATAAAAGCGGGTGACGGGTGAGGGTAGATCGAGAACCTCTGAGATCCGGCGGCTCTGGAAGATGTCTCGGGCGCCGCGGCCTTCGCAGAGCGTTCCGGAACGCTCTGCAGCATTCTCGAACCGCTCCGGAGCGCTCTGAGAGCGCTCCGGAGGAGGAGGAGGCGGAGGAGGAGGAGGAGCAGGAGGAGGAGGAGGGGGAGGAGGAGAAGGAGGAGGAGGGGAGGAGGGGGAGGAGGAGAAGGACGGAGGAGGAGGAGGAGGAGGAGGAGGAGGAGGAGGAGGAGGAGGAGGAGGAGGAGGAGGAGGGGAGGAGGAGGAGGAGGGAGGAGGAGGAGAGGGGGAGGAGGAGGAGGAGAGGAGGAGGAGGGAGGAGGAGGAGGAGGAGGAGGAGGAGGAGGAGGAGGAGGAGGAGGAGGAGTAGGAGGAGGAGGAGGAGGAGGAGGAGGAGGGAGGAGGAGGAGGAGGGAGGAGGAGAGAGGAGGAGGGAGCGGAGGAGGAGGAGCCGCAGGACTCCGACAGGAGGACCCGCGCCCCAGGGCTTAGGAGCAGACCACGGCGCGCGTCCCCCCCCGGCGAGGGGAGCAGCGGTGCAGGGTCGGGAGGGGGGGGCACCGGCTCGAGGGCGCCTCGGCCTGTGGAGCAAAAAAAAAAAAACAAAAAAAAACAAGGATTGCAAAAAAAAAAAAAAAAAAACGGATTGCAAAAAAGGATTGCAAACAAAAAACAACAACAACAACAACAAACACAACAACAAAAAACACGAAGGATTGACGATGCGCCGCCGAAGAATCGGCGATAGGTTTGGGTCGGACATGTCCTCCTACGTGGGCGGCGCGCACAAGGGGGTTGGGGGTGGGGGGAAGGCTTCTCAGAAGCACCCTGCTTCTCAGAAGGCCTCGGCCTTACGTCTATGGGGAAGGCCCGCGCCTTCTAAGAAGCAGGGGTGCTTCTAAGAAGCCTTCCCCCCTCCCCCATACCCCCCTCTGCGCGTTGCCGACTCCTACAGGCGGATCCTGGGGGGCAGAAATCAGACAATAAGCATTCAGAACTACTCAGAATCAGAAGAAGTTGCACCCGAGAAAATCCCCATCAGTCGATGAATTGAAAATTTGTGCTATGGATCTTGAGACCGATTGTGAGATCGATAGTTGAATCGATGGTGAGACCGAGAGTGAAATCGATTCAATGAGATCGATAGTGAGATCGATCGCGAGATCGCTCATGCGATCTCCAGTGAGATCGCTCGTGAGATTGATAGTGAGATCGATTGTGAGATCGATGGTGAGATCGATCGAGAAATCGGTAATGTGATCGATGGTGAGACCGATAAGAAGATCGACCGGGAACCCGGGAACCTGGGAACCTCGCCGCCCTCCGAAATCGGCCCGGAACCCGGAACCGGGAACCCAGGAACCCAGGAACCCAGCCTGCCACCAAAATCGGCAGGGAACTTTCGCCAAATCCTTCAACATCCGCTAGGACCCCTTCAGTGCAAGCAATCATTGGGGAAACACGAACGTCCCCAGCGTACCTCTCGACTATTCTTGACTGTTCCTCCTGCAAGGGGACGTGCCCGACGACACGACGGGCCCCCGAGAGCGAGACCGCACTCCTCTCCCGACCGGGTTGGGGCACCTAGCGCCACGGTCGGCGATGAGCGAACGACAGAGGGAGGCCCAAGGCCCCCCCCCGAGCCAATCCCCCTGTTTGCGTTGTGTTGTTCCCATCCGACTTAAGGACCACATCCCAGAAGTAATTTCATGTCGAGCATCCGGAAAAATGTCGAAACAGTGTCGAAACAGTGTCGACCGAGTGTCTCCCAGGGCCCGGCATGTGAACACCCTGGAGTTTCGGTGCTAATTTTGGGCGCTCGAAATTCTTCCTGGTGATCAAGGCTAAAGTAGGCTGGAGCATCATTACCCTGGCGGAGACCCTCCCTGACCAGGGCGCGAGGAGTGGCCCAGACCCCCTGTGGTGCCGAGAGGGCGCTGCAGGTGGCCGGAGAGGTCTGGACGGGGCGAGGACGCGGTCGTGGCACGATCGGGCCCGGATGCACCTCGGGAGCTCTCTGCGGCGCGCGGAGCGCCAATAGCGCTGGCTTCGGAAGCCGAGGCTCGAGGAGCCGGCGCTGGAGGAGGAGGAGGAGGAGGAGGAGGGGGAGGGGGAGGAGAAGGAGAAGGAGAAGGAGAAGGAGAAGGAGGAGGAGGAGGAGGAGGAGGAGGAGGAGGAGGAGGAGGAGGGGGAGGACAGCGAAGGAGGGCTGGCGGGCTGCTGGGACCGACGGCCAGGCACGGGGGCTGGTGCGGACGAGGGGCCGTGTTTTGAGAGGCGGCAGGACAGGGCGGCCACACAGAGCGCACGATGCTTCATACGCAGCTGCGCCCTCACGGCTCGATGTATACACCACGTCAGCTGGTCGGCCAGGGAGCTCGGTGTATAGACGCCCCTGCTGCCCGACCTGCGGGAGGCTGGAGCGTCTGTACACCGATCTCTTTCGTCTGCCTCGCTCCTCCTCCTCCTCCTCCTCCTCCTCCTCCTCCTCCTCCTCCTCCTCCTCCTCCTCCTCCTCCCCGGGAGTCGGCGGCGCGCCCGGGAGGGAAGGCTGAGGGGGCGGGGCTTCCGAGGTTGGCGGGCGAAGGGCGGCATCGAAAGAAGCTGCTTCGTCACCGGGGGGCGCCTGTCCCCTGGCGGCTGGAAAATTCACACCCCGACGTGCCATCGTAGGGGTCTCTGAAGTTTCCAGCCGCCCCCGGGACAGGTCCCCACGACGGCGAACAAGTGTTTGGTATACCGCCCTTCGCCCGCCAGCTGCTCGGAAGGCTCCGAAGGCTTCCCAGGCCTCCTCCGAAGCTGAGCAGCCCCGTCGCCATTGAGAAGGCTTGCCCCCCATCGCTTCCCCCATCTGCGCGCCGCCGCTGGAGAGCTGAGAGCGGCATCCGGTCAGCCTGGACGAGTGCGCGGGGTGTCACTGCAGGAGTGGATGGCAAGAGGCTGATCTCCGACGGCGCGTCCTTGGGCGGAGGCGGAGGGGGCGTTGCTGCCAGACCGTCGCGTCTGCCCTCGAGATCGCCGCCTTCCACTTCCTGCTGTTCCGCTGATGGTGTTGCCGCTGGTGGTGCACTTTCACTTGCTTCTCTCTCTCTCTCTCTTTCTCTTTCTCTCTCTTTTTCTCTCTCTCTCTCTCTCTCTCTCTCTCCCTCTCTCTCTCTCTCTTTCTCTCTCTTTCTGAGCACACATTTTCCTATCCCTGGCGCTGTTTGCTCAAACATAAGCGACCGATATTGTGTCCATAACCCTGCTGCTGCCTTCCACCGTGGGCGCCACGGGGTAGTTAGACCACGGGTAGACACTTGGTCTCTGGAGGCTGGGCTTTTATCCATGCTCCCGCTCTGTCATTATGTAGGGTTGGGGCGCCAACACGACATGAGCCCGCCTTGGAACCGAACGATGACGACCACATCTGGATCGATATCTCACGACCGCAGCCCAACAAATCCCTCATCCTTGACAATCCCGTGTCCTTCTGGGATTGGCTGTTCCTCATACTCACATTGGTTTCAACCTCACCGTGATATGAAACAGTGGTCAACCTGTCCACCAAGCTACCGCCGCCTTCCCCCTTTCGCCTGGGAGGCTTCGCGGATGCGAAGGCCACGTATAGCATCGCCTCATGCATGCAGAAACGTGCCTCTCTCAGTAATTAGGGGGCGCACCTTTTACTTCAGCCACCTTCCACCGCCCTTCCTTTTTTTCACAGCACTGCGCCCAAGCACACTCAAACGGACGTTTCGTGCGGGGTCTAATGGAAACCTACCGAAATCATCGCACGATGCGTTTGTCCAAATCATGAGGTGACCCAAAACGGGGGCGCGCACGGGGACGGGGGTTGCCATGACTCCACACCCTGCGCCCACCACTTCCCTGGCCCATGTCGTCGACTGTCCCTGCGCTCCCCCTTTCCCTGGGCCCGTCTCCCCTCCTCCCCTTTCCCCGTCTTCCCTGGGCCCGTCACCGCCCCCCCCGCTTTTCCACGGCCTCCCCCTCAAGAGCAATGCTGTCATTGAGTCGAAGGGAAGCCCCTTCCCATGAATCCCTCCCCTGCCGGGGGGAGGGGGGGTCCTGCAGGGGGGGTCCCAGGGGGAGGATCCGGGGGGGAGGATCCCGGGGGGTTCCCGGGGGGGGGGGTCCCGCGTCAGATGCGACTCCCCCCCTGCACGGGTTCTGGGGCCCACGCAAGCCTCAGAAGGGCCAAGAGCCGAGACATTCTACGCCCAAGCCCCGGCCCCGGCCCCAGTCCAGCCCCAGCCTCGGCTCCGCGTCTGGCCCCAGCCTCGTCGGCCTCGGCCGGTCCTGGCCCTGGCCCCAGCCCGAATCCAAGCCCCGGCCTCGGCCATGGCCCCGGTCCCGGCCGGCCCTGGCTCCCGCCCCGCCTGCCCTGGCCCCGGACCGTCCCGGCCTCGGCCCCGGCCCTGGCCCTGGCCCGGGCCCGGCCCGGGCCCAGCCCCGACCCCAGCCCCAGCCCCAGTCCCAGCCTCGGCCCCGGCCCTATAGCCCCGGCCCTGGCCCTGGCTCCCGGCCCGCTCTGGCCCCGGTCTTGGCCCAGGTCCCGGCCCTCCCGGCCCCGGCGCCCTCCAAATCTAACTACACCTCGGTGGCCTCCCCGATGCCCAAGATGCCGAACCTAGCTTCGAAACAGCGAACGAAACCTGGAAGTCGCCCGAGGAGGGCTCCAAGACGCCCCGACTGATCCTGATAGGTAACCTGCGTCGTCGTCAACATCGTCAACATCCTCGCTCCTTCTCCTCCTGATGATCGCCACGCTCTACTCGCCCCTGCCCTTCCTTCGTGCCCCCCCACGACCCTGCTCGCCCCACTCTCCTCCTATTCATCCCCCCCCTGTGCTCCTACTCCTCCTCATCCACCTCTTCCTCCTGCCCCCCTCCTTATTTCCCTCCCCATGCTCCGCGCTATCCTCCCCAACCTCAGGGTCGTCGGCACCGTCCGTAAGGCCTTCGCAATACATATTTGAGAACGCGACAGCGCACACGACGGGGAGTAACATCGCTGTCGAGTCGCGCAGCCCCTCTGGCAGTGGCCAGATCGTCTGCGTCTTTTCTCAGCGGGCGCCAACCTGTGCCGATGACTTTCGGGTGGCTTGAGCCAAGATGGTTACGGATCCTCCGCCGCGGAACTTTTGGGTTCCGATCACGAGGTCCCGCCCACATGTTGCATCCCATGCGCTGCACCCTGCAGGTTGCACCGCAGCAGATGCAGCCAACACGCTACAGCCCCGCATGTCACAAGGGGACAAACATAAAGAGACACACATTCCAGGATTCCAAGTGTGTTCCGTATTCCCCAGTCTTTCCGTCCCGACCGGTTCCCATACAGTTCCAGATGTCCATGCGCATGCGCGCATTGTGTGTATGTGTCGAATTGTCCCTCCTGGCAGATTGCACTCCTTTCGTCGCACCCCGCAGGTTGCAGCCGTTCACCCCGTGCGCTGCACCACTTGAGTTGCATCCCATGTGTTGAGTCCTCCCACAGTTTGCGCAACGTCATGATGATGCTCCATTTGGTAGCCACGCGCCCGTGCCAGTGGCTCGCCTTGCTAACATCTCTCCACAAGACATCGGGTCATTGCCACAGTTTGCTCGTTCATCGGTCCTCCAGATCGAGATTGCCTGCAAGAGGCTCCCGAGTGTAGATGCTTACCCTAGACGACGCCAAGACGGCCAGAAGACCCCGCAAATTGGCCCAAGATTGCCCCATAAATGACCTAAGGTGGGCCGAGACACCCTCGAGATGGCCCAAAAAGCCCCCAAGATGCTCGCAGGATGGCCCAGGAGGTGCTGCACATTGCAAGACAGTGGCACAAAAGCGTGAAACGAGACACTGCCTCACGGAGGCTGGCCTCTCCGGGACTCTTTCGGCTGCCCGGCGGCTCCGAATGGGCCGAGCACGTCCCCGAGAGGCCCCCGAGGTGGACCAAAAGGAGGAGGAAAGAGGGAGAAGAGGGAGGAGGGAGGAGACATCTCCCCACACACTTTTGTCGGCAGCGACGCACGCGGCGACACAGCGATGACAGCAGTGAGCAGGCGCGCGAGAGAGGTCTGAGCGCCAGGCCAGGCAGCAATCGGAGAAGAAGTAGAGAAAGGAGAAGAAGAAGAAGAAGAAGAAGAAGATGATGGAAGAGCAAGACACACACACACACACACAGACACACACACAGACTTTTTGGCGTCGCGGCCCTGCGCGCAGCGACAGGGCAGAGAAAGTCATAGGACAGCAGCCGTGCGCGGGCGCGCCTAGAAGCGTCCGAGCCCTCAAGACCGCACAGGGTCTGGCAGCAGCCGCCCGCGATAGCCATCGGGGCGTGGATGACGATGGGGGGGACGGTGGGAGGATAGGCTACGGCGCGGTGGAGGTGTCATAAGCCATCCGGGACTGGGCGGCGGGGGGAGCGAGTAAGAAGTGTGGGGCGGCACGGAGGCCAAGACCGACCTCAAGCTCAACGGGCAGAAAAGCTGAAGGGGCCCTGGGACACACAAATAAATACAGACAAATAACCGGATTCCCTATATTTTTACATATTTTTTGGATTTTCGTCTTCCCCCCCTCTTCCCATATTTTTGCATATTTTCCTGGGGCCCGACGATTAATTGTGTCTGTGTGCTTTTTCCCCTCCTGAAAAACATAGGCCTGCGGCGAGCAGGTGCCAGGGCCGGCAGGGGCCGGCAGCAGAGCGCCAAGCGAGGAGCAAACACACACACACACACACACACACACACACACACGCACGCACACGCACACACACACACACATACACACGCTCACACACACACACACACACACACATACACACACACACACACGCACACACACACACGCTCACACACACACACACACACACACACGTGTTGGCGTTGCGGCCACGGGCGCGGCGATGCGGCGTAGGCAGCCGAGCGGGAGAACGAGCGCGGCGGGGAAGAGCAACACACACACACACACACACACGCGCACGCAATGACGCACACACACACACACACACACACACGCGCGCACACACGCGCACACACACACACGCGCGCGCATACAAATTCATTGTCCGCTTCCGCCTGCTCTTCCACGTCGTTCTCACATCTTCCGCCCAGACCATCACCCCACCCGACAGCGGCCCTGGGATATCTCCAGGGAGGATCCCTGGGGAAAGCCGAATTGGAGCTGGGCCCAGACTCTTTCGACGACGTCATGCTTTCTTCGCGACGCGAACCCCCAAAACTCTCGACCCCATCTCCGGTGCCAATTTTGCGCCTGGAGTCTTTTCCTCCTCCTCCTCCTCCTCCTCCTACTCCCTCTCCTCCTCCTCCTCCTCCTCCTCCTCCTCCTCCTCCTCCTCCTCCTCCTCCTCCTCCTCCTCCTCCGCATCCCCTGCCCCCGGCCTTTCAGGACGACAAGCGCGACGAGGGAGAGGAGAACCCAAACCAAAAGCCCAAACCCGAAAGAGACAGCCGTCGTGATCTTCGCGGCGCCGGAGATTGGTGGACCTCCGAAAGGATGGAGCGGGAGGGCCCACGGCGGGTCGGCAGAGCGGTGGCCGCGTGACCTCAACATCCAAGAGGGAGCCGCTGAGTTTCGACGGCGGGGAACCCCCCTGGCGGGGGAGGCGAGGCGGAGCTGTACGGTTGCCCTCCTCCGAGCAAGGCGCGCCAGACAGCTGGGGCCAGCCCTGGCAAGGAGGGACGGACGAGAGAACGAAGGCGCCAGCCGTGGGCGCACACACACGTAGCAAGAGGCTACATCCACGACACCCAGTACAAGGCGCGAGAGGCCGCAAACTCTTGGATCCCAAGTCCTGCCAGGCCGCGGCGCACGCGGTGGTCGCCGTGGTCGTGGTGCCGCTTGTAGTTACCGGGCGTCGTTGGCGTAGTCGTGACCCTGGAGGCTGCGGCCTCATGCGCCTTGCCCAAAATTGGGCAAGGCGCGAAAAGCCGCAGACTCTTGGATCGCAAGCCCTGCCAGGCCGCTGCGTCTGCGGTGATCGCAGGCTGCAAGGCCGCGCTGTGGTCGCCGTGGTCGTAGTGCTGATTGTAGTCACCAGGTGCCGTTGACACAGCGCTCGTGCAGTCAAGGAGATGGAACAAGGACTGGTTCGGGTTCGGGAAGGGCTCGCAGTTCCTTGGGTCCTTTCGTGGCTGTTTCTCTAGCGCTCCTCATGCATCAGACGCTTTTGGGGCAAACAGTGGTCCGCTCATTCGTTGGCGTTCATCTGGTAGTAGCTTGGACTGTAGTATCGCCATGGCTCTATGACGTCGATGGTGTCGTGTCGTGCGTTCCTGCCACCTTGTAGGCCCAAGCTGCATAAGGAGCCCCATGTGTCATGGCGCAACTGTTCTTCGTGGTGTCTCCACTGGGAGGGGCTCGAAGTATGCACCAAGTTGTCTGAACAGCCCAGGAATTTGGTCATAACCGCCACAGCTTCCCAACCTGTGGGATAATGCAGCGTCCACACACCGAATTTCTTCGCCGAGCTCAATCGCTCAGTGGCAGATCAAACTGCGTAGTGTGTGTAACGATCCCCTCCGATCAACCACATAACTTGATGTCCTGGATGGGATTCAAATGAAACTCTTCGTGTCCAACGGCCCGCCGGATGGTGGGCTTCCTGGGCAGCATATCGCAACATCGTCTGGCAGGCAATGCACACCACATCTGGGATACCATGACGTCGCGTCGAGTCCTCCGGCCTGCAAGTGATCCTCCTTTCAAATCAGGCCACAGCTTTGCTTGATCTTGGGTCTGTCGGCGATCGTGGTGTGGAAAAGTTCAGCCGTCGCTGTCGTCGCTCGCACTTGTGTGATCTGATATAGCAGGTGGATTGCTACTCACATGGTTTTCGCTTGAGACGGCAGATAGTCAATCATGGATGGGATGAGTTGTTGTTCCTGGTTTTCGCGTACGTCTTATTATTTGTACACTGTGCTGCAGCAGTGCGCCTTCGTGGTGTGCCCATTACAATTCAAAGCATGCGACTATGCGTTCTGTTAAAACGCTTATGGAGTGGCTCCGTCAACATCAAAGGTCTCCGCGCTGTACAGCATAGTTGAAATGCGTGTGCGTGGGTAGTGCCACAATCCACGTTTGAATGAGTTCTGCATGCTTGCAATTTCCTTCTCGGTCGTGAGACGTGCCCGCGCAGCTTGGATGCGTCGCGCGATCTCAACCGCAGGGGCGTCGTGGAACGTGAGGCCCAAAATGCTGACCGTTCCACTGTGGGGCAGGACGCCTGACTGCGCGTGTTCGATTTCGTGGCCCACTGATAACGGGTTGGCCTTGTACGGGTGGAAGTAAAGGCCGTGGGGTTTGGCTGCTGTGACTAGGTCGGTGAGCACTGTCCCGAGGTTCGGCAAGCCATGGCGTAAAGGTAGCATGTCACCAGCAAGCCGGAGATTTGTAAGGGCAGGGACCCTCCAGTTGAAGTGTGCGCCCTCAGTGCCGCCGTTCAGGGATGAATGGTTGTAGGGTGTGTTGCAATAAGGATCTGGAAAAACAGGGAGCTCAATAGGTCCTCTTGCTTCGTGCCACACTGGAGGCTGAAAGGTTCGCTGGTGGCATCGGCGTGAATTACGGCTGTCTGGTCGCAGCCACTGGGAGCCCCGTGGTGCCAGAGCGCTGTCCCAAAGCAGGTCTGCACCACTGTGCTGAAAGTCTTTGTTGAAGCCCGCGGCGACAATCCAGATAGCCTTGTTCAATTCAGAAGCACGCCCGCACATAGCATGGAAAGGAAAGGCTGTCGCGCGTGCCGTAGCAAGGCGGAAGAGGAGAACGGAGGTGGAAGAGGAAGGACGACGCGGCGAACGGTTGGCAAGAGGAGGCGGGCTCTGCCCTGGTCGCCTACCCCGTTTCGGATGCCCCAGCAACTTCCGATGCTGCTCGCGTCCCCACTCCTCCCTCGTCCGACCTCCGCGTTCTCGCCCTCGTCCGGCCTCCTCGTCCGCTTGCTCCGTCTCCAGCTCAGATTCCGAGACCGCCTCCGTGCATATATCCGCCTCCGTTCCTGTCCACCTGTCCGTAACTACGTGTGTAGTGTGAAGGCGCAGGGGATGGCGAACGTCACTGTCACACTCCCTGCAGACTGATGCCACTCCTGCCCCCCTCCCGCCGCGCGCGTCATCGCGCCCAGCAGAGAGGGGTGAAGAGGAGGAAGAAAGGAGCAGGAAGAGAGAAGAGGGAGGAGAGAGAAAGGAAGAATGTCCTGGTCTATCTCGGACGGGGGGCAGTCATCGCCACGGCCAGCGGCGAGGCCGTTGAAATCCAAGTTGACCTCGACGTCTTTGTGATTGACGTTGCAGCCGGCCACGTCACACACGTCTGATGCGTAAACTTTTCGGGAGGGGGGAGAGGGGGAGGAGGGACGACGACGACGACGGCGGCGACGGTAACGGCGACAGCGGCGACGGCGACGAGGCAGACGACGAAGGGGAGGGAAGGAAGGAGGAGGAGGAAGAGGAGGGAAGACAGAAGAGGAGGGGGGAGGCCAACGCGCGAGGGAACGATGAAGAGCCTTGGGTACACGACAGCTGAGTTTCGCGGCGTTCCGTCGCTACCCCCTCCTCATTGCTCCAACTTCTTCGTCGCGAGCTGGGGGAGCGAACGTGATCGCGCTCGGTGCTGGTCCCAGCGAGAGGGGGAACGCGGGAAGAGATGCAGACACGAGGAAAAAACATCAGGGGAGATATAGTAGGACGTTCACAAATCTTGAAACGAAGAAAGAGCACAGAGGGCATACAGCATGCGAATGCCCAGAGAGGAAAACGCACAGTCCGCTTGCGATATGTGCACGCACCCAATGCAACGCGACGAGCGAACGAGAGAGTGGCAATGCAAGCGCGAAGCAGCACTTGTCAATGAAAGTGCGGGTAACATGTGGAAGAAAATCGAGGACCTTTGTCTGTCTCGCTGGCGATGAGAGGGTAGATCCGTGTCTGATAAACGCACAACTTCGTTGCTGTGAGCGGCTCGTTTGCTCATGGTCAACCCCGTGAACGCTGCTTTGTCGTCACGCGCCTTCCGATTCTCCTTCGGCCCCTACAGTCAGTGTTCTGCGCCAGACCGTCGTCTTTCTTCGCTGAACTCCCACACACGCACACACACACTTGTTCCTCCAGCGGCGAGGTGACGATGCCGTCGCGATGCTCTAAGCCAACTCATCCTTGGGCGACTACTCACCTGTCGCAGAAGATGAGCGGAGTGGGTGGGGGCAGCCACGTGCAGACAACCCGTAGGAGCGGATGCACGCGGGAGCCCCACACGTACACACGCGCACAAACAGTATGCTTCCCTCTCTCTCACGGTACCTCTCCCACACACACACACACACACACACACGCACGTACTGCTCCCCGGCTCTTCCCTGCAGTCCACTCACCCCTTCGCCCCCATCTTCTAGGGGGCAAACAAACCTACCTCGCTTTTGACCACCCTCGCTTCCAAGAGATACCAAGCGATGCCAAACTACGGCATGTACTGGTCAGGCCGCTTGACGAGGAGGCGTATGGTATGACTTGGTTTTGCCTGGAAGCGAAAGCGGGGTAGGTAATTCACGCTCTGATCTTCCGCTATCCATACCCGCCTCCCGCCCACCTCTCCATTCCCTTCCCAGCACCCGCCCCCTTCATCTTCTGCTCACTCCCCGCCTCCTTCTCGCACTCCTCCTCGCTCCTTCCCTCGATCGTCATCCTCCCATCCCCGTCCCTTGATTGCATCCTCCCTTTCCCATCCTCTCTTCATCTTCCCGTGGCTCCTCCTCCTCCTCCTCCACCTCCCCCTCCTTCTCCACCTCATCCGCATCCTCATCCTCGTCACCATCGAGCTCAACACTGGCCCCCGAGCGCCACCCTGGCAAATATTCGGATTACGTCCAGCCGTGACCCCGTCCCCGTCTCGGGCAACAGACATTCAGGGCGGTCGGGGGGAAGCCCTGTCTACATAACCAGCTGCCCAACGCCGCGCTTGATGGTGAACTATGACTAAAACACGTGCGACTGGTCATGCCAGACCTCCGCACTGGAAGAGGAAGGAAGAACTGCACTGGCACGATGTGGCGGCAATTCGAGCTCGCCGGGGGCCAACCGCGACTTTCCGGGCAAGGCAGGGCGAAGCTCCCTGTCAAGTGCACTTGGCGCGCGCGCGAACAGGAGAACCAAGCTCCTCCTACGCAGCGCGACCCTGGATAGACAAACGACTTCGTGCAAGAAATCACGCAAACTACCTTATAGGACGACCACTGCACAGCCACCCACCAGCATCGAACTCCGTGGAGGAAGGAGGAACGATATGCGGGGAATAGCAGCTCCAACCGGCCGCTGGGTGCAGCGTGCCCCATAATCCATCGGCCACACGACCGGAGCAGAGGGGACACGATAGCTTGCGCCACATCGCGTCGAATTGCATGGCGGCGACGACGCCACCATGCATGGCGACGCCGACGCCGCCAATTCCAAGAGACTCCCAGAATACATCTGAAACTGATTTTGCTGAAAGGCTGATTGGCCAGATCTTCCCTCGGTTTGATTGCTGCCCCCTTTTTTTTCTCACTAAGGGCTTCAAATATCTATCATTGCACACTGGGCTGGCGAGGATGCGCGAAGCGTAAAGAATCTTCCACAACGAGCGCGCACGCACATGCACCATGTCACACTACACCCACACATTGCCATAGGCGTCCACCCAATGATTGAGGGACTGGTGGTAGCCCGAGCGGATAGTGTGAGTGTGTGCGTGCGCCCGAACATTCGAGAGTTGCAGCAGCACCATGCCACGTCTAGCAGAGGGGTTCACTAACTCGAGGCACAATCCAACACCTCTCAAGTTCCAGGGAAACAAGCATTAAGGCACTGTCCGCCGAAGCACACACGTGCCAAAGGACACCATGTACCTTGTAGCAGGGGCTTTCTCTTGTGAGCCAGGACCTGACGATGCGCACGAAGACAGCGCCTCGACATGAAAGACAAATGTCTGGCGAAGACGAACGTCGCCTGTGTATTCGGTCATCATCACAACATGAACGGATCCAACCTTAGCATAGCTTCGCGTCAGCTAGTTCAATCAAGGAACCGACGTGGCAGAGCAAGCCGATATCTCAGAAAATCGGTAGGGAGGACATGCGGGAGAAGAAAGCGTGTGGCTTCTTGCCTGCCTCGTTGTCTCTTGTCCTCTCTCTCTCTCTCTCGCTCCCTCTCTCTCTCTCAATCTTTCTCTCGCACACGCATATCTGCCAGGCGTGCCAATGAGAGAAGGGAGGCAAAGGTACAACAAGCGAGGAGGGGAGAGGAAGAGGGGGAAGGCCAGGGCTCGAACCGGGGCAACACTACGATGTCGGAGGCGTGGGGCGCGCCCTGGCAGAGCAAACGCGCCGCCGAGATATCAGAAAGAGGAGGAGAGAGGGGGAAGGAAAGAGAAGGAGGAAGGAAATAGAGGAGGAGAGAAGGAGGAAGGAAAAAAGAGGAAGGATCAGTAGAAGGAAAGAAGGAGGAGGAGGAGAAGGAGGAGGAGGAGGAGGAGTTGGAGGAGGTAGGAGTGCACGCCCTCGACCAGCGAGACACAGCAGGAGGGAGGAGATGGGGAAGGAAAGGGAGCAGAACCACGCGCGCTTCTCGCGTGCTCCGGTTCTAGCAAACTTCGGCTCTTGACGAGCTCGCAGCTGCATGCACATGTTCAGCCACACATGGAACGGGAGTTGGAGCAGCAGCGAGATCGCGGACGGAGGAGAGTCGGCTACACACAGGAGCGACCCTGGGCACGAGTGACCTCTCGCGCGCGGACTAAGGGGGCGCGGGGTGGCCCATTCCAAAGCGCAAGCAGCCACTATCGCATCGCGCCCAGCGATCGGGGGCACCCCGGTGAGCCCGCACCGAAGGTCACTCCGGCGAAAGGTCACCCTTACGTGTGGTCGAGAGAGAAGCAGAACGGACGAACGAACGAACGAAGCTGCCGCCGACGGGAGGGGTCGGCATCCCTGCAGGGGAGGCAGGCGCGCCTGTAGCGATCTGGCCCTCTGAGGAGGACCGGGGACAGGCTACAACATCTAGGTCGGGCATGTCCTCACACAGGCGGGTTTTGGACGAAAACTCAAAAACATTCAAACAACAACAAAAAACACGAATAGCCAAACGAGTACGAGCACGAAAGTCTTGAATATTCCCCCCGTACAGGGGCATGCCCGACTCGAAAATACAACATACGCGTGATGATTCCGTGCCCGAGCAGGAGCAGCGAAAACGCGCGCAGCACAGACACGCGGAGGGCGGAACGGTGGAGAGACGTGCTGCCAGCGGGGCGAGCTCAGCCCTCCGACGTCCTGATGCTTCGGTGCGTGGGCCTCCGAAGCAGTCGACCCCCCTCTCTGAGGTGGATTGCAAAAAAACCCTTCTCGAGGTTGTTTTGCAATCCTTCGGAGGTTTTTTTGCAATCCTTCTCTCTGGGTTTTTGTTGCAATCCTTCGGTTTTTTTGCAATCCTTCGCTCTCGTCGTGGGTCGCTCGTCTCCGGGCGGTCCACGGGGGCTTGGAGGGCGCCGTGGCTGCGAGGCACAAAGAGCACGGGCAAGGAAGGGCGGGAGGAGGAGGCGGGGTCACGAGGAGCAGGATGGATGATGACCGGGGCCCTGGGACACACAAGTAAATAGATACCAATAACAGGATCCCCCATATCTCCCCCAGATGTTCTGGGTTTTTGTCTTCGCCCCCACTTCCCATATTTTTTCCCGCATTTTTGGGGGAATCGACGATGAATTGTGTCTGTGTGTGTTTTTCCCCTCCTGAGGTGAGGGGAGAGGTCGTCCGCTGGGCGCACTGTCACAATCGCCCTTCCCTCGAGGGCAACTGGCAGCCCAGAAGAGTACCAACGGAACGCACTGCGCGCGTGCTCAGCAGTGAGGGAAAGTCCGTGGACCCTCGTAGACACGAATCTCTGGTGGACTTCGCGAATGACTAGAGAGGGACAGGACGGAATTGAACCATCTTGAAAGAGGACAGCGTTGGAGAGAGGAGTGGTGGAGAAAGGAGAGGGACGCAAGAACAGTAACGGTGGAGGAAGGAGGCGGACGCAACAGAGAGATAGAGGACGGGGGCTGAGCGGGGAGAGGGATGGAGAGAGGGGACGGCGGAAGAAAGAGGCGGGATGGATGGATGGATGGGGACAGGAGGAGAGGGGCATGGGAGGAAGGATGGATGGATGGGGACAGAAGAAGGCGAAGATGAGGGAGGAAGGATGGATGGGGGCAGGAAGGAGAGGGGGGTACGGAGGGAGAGGCACGGGAGGGAGGAGGGAAGCAAGAGAAACTACAGGCAGATAATGCAGCAGAAGCAATGCAGAGGAGATGGAAGCGGAGGAAGATGAAGTGCAAAGGGAGGACGGGGGATTTGAAGAAAAGGAGGATGCATGTCCAGGCGGCAAGAGGGGGAAACGATGGGGGAACAGGAGGAGGAGGAACGATGAGAGCGGAGGGAGGGCTTATGATGGTGGCAGGAAGGACGGGGCAGGGGGCCAGCCTGGACTCGACTGTTGTTGGGAGTGCATTGTTCGACTGTCTGACGGCGGGTTGAGGAGCTCAGGGGATAGACCGTTTCGGGGGCGTCTGAGAGGACTCTTGCGCGGACTTGGAGCTATCTGGGGTCATGTTTGAATTCTCTGGGCTGTCTTGAAGGCTCCGGAGGCTGCGCAAGGCCCGCTGGAGCCCCACTTGGGGCGTCTGTGAGCCCTCTTCGGGCCGTCTTGAGTTCCCCTGGAGGCCCGCTGGGGGCGTCTTGGGGCTCTCTTGGGCTGTCTTGAGCCCCTCTGTGGGTTCTCCTGACGCCCGTTTGTGCTTGGGCTGTCTCTGGGGAAGATGGGGCCTTCGGACCGACTCGGGTGCTCTGAGCAGCAGAAAAAAACAGCAAGACCCCAAAATTCATGCGAAAACTTGCTGGAAATCTAGTGTGTGTGTGTGTGTGTGTCTGTGTGTGTGTCTGTGTGTGTGTGTCTGTGTGTGTGTGTCTGTGTGTGTGTGTCTGTGCGTGTGTGTGCGTGTGTGTGCGTGTGTGTGCGTGTGTGTGTGCGTGTGTGTGCGTGTGTGTGCGTGTGTGTGCGTGTGTGTGCGTGTGTGTGCGTGTGTGTGCGTGTGTCTGTGCGTGTGTCTGTGCGTGTGTCTGTGCGTGTGTCTGTGCGTGTGTCTGTGCGTGTGTCTGTGCGTGTGTCTGTGCGTGTGTCTGTGCGTGTGTCTGTGCGTGTGTCTGTGCGTGTGTCTGTGCGTGTGTCTGTGCGTGTGTCTGTGCGTGTGTCTGTGCGTGTGTCTGTGCGTGTGCTGTGAGTGTGTCTGTGCGTGTGTCTGTGCGTGTGTCTGTGCGTGTGTCTGTGCGTGTGTCTCTGCGTGTGTCTCTGCGTGTGTCTCTGCGTGTGTCTGTGCGTGTGTCTGTGCGTGTGTCTGTGTGTGTGTGTGTCTGTGTGTGTGTCTGTGTGTGTGTCTGTGTGTGTGTGTCTGTGTGTGTGTCTGCTGTCGTGTGTCTGTGCGTGTGTCTGTGCGTGTGTCTCTGCGTGTGTCTCTGCGTGTGTTTGCGTGTCTGTGTCTGTGCGTGTGTCTGTGCGTCTGTTTGTGTGTTTGTGTGTGCGTGCGTGTGTGTGTGTGGTGTGTGTGGTGTGTGTGTGTGTCTGTGTGTGGTGTGTGTGTGGTGTGTGTGTGGTGTGTGTGTCTGTGCGTGGCTGTGTGTCTGTGTGGTGTGTGTGTCTGTGTGTCTGTGTGCCTGTGTGTCTGTGTGTGTGTCTGTGTTTCTGTGTGTCTGTGTGTCTGTGTGGTGTGTGTGTCTGTGTGTCTGTGTGCCTGTGTGTCTGTGTGTCTGTGTGTCTGTGTGTCTGTGTGTCTGTGTGTCTGTGTGTCTGTGTGTCTGTGTGTCTGTGTGTCTGTGTGTCTGTGTGTCTGTGTGTCTGTGTGTCTGTGTGTCTGTGTGTCTGTGTGTCTGTGTGTCTGTGTGT